GTGTGGCTCTGTGTCGCCTCACGCCTTGTTCACGGTGCCAACACCTCATTAGCACAATATGCAAACGAGCTGGATCAGGGCCAGAGGGTCAGAGCACAAACTGGAGGCAGAATAATAGCACAATGGAGCATCTTTCTTTGTGTGTGTGTGTGTGTTTCTAAATTCCTGCCTGGTTAATGTGCGTTTAGCTCTCTCTCTCTCTCTCTCTCTCTCTCTCTCTCTCTCTCTCTCTCTCTCTCTCTCTCTCTCTCTCTCTCTCTCTCTCTCTCACACGTTTTGTTTCTTGACCCCGTGGGGACCTTCCACTGACTTCCATTCATGCTTTTTTGCGTTTATAGCAGGGATGCCCAAACATTTTCCTCGAGGTGGCCAAAATGAAAATCTATCCAGGGCAGCGGGCCAAATACAGTAATATAATACATGAAATACAAATACTTTTAAAGTAAAGTCCCTTATTTTCAACGATTAAGCTGTGCAATGGCCCTCTTTTGTTTTAGTCTGTGCACTTGGAGAAAGTCTGCCATCAAGTAGCAAAGGCTCATGGGACACATCATAAATTGATAAAATATGAGTTTTTGTGGTCTTATAAAGTGTGCAAATCTACATGTGTGGTTAAATCTGAACAAAATATTTCTTGTCATTTCATGTTTCACGTTTAATCCTAAAAAATCAAAGATAAAGTCAGCACCATGAATGAAAACTACCTTCACTACCTTTTATATAAAAGGACTGTACACAGTCCTTTTATATAGTCATTTGACCAATGGAAATACTGTGTATATCCATAGGATAATTGGTTACAACCTTGTAACTTTGGCAACTGTTGGTGGGCCAAATCAAATGGCTTGGCGGGCCAAATCAAATGGCTTGGCGGGCCAAATTTGGCCCGCGGGCCCCACTTTGGGCTCCTCTGCTTTATAGTCTAACCCTGACCACATACTCTAAAATTAAGCTCAGAGATACCTACCTGACCCTAAAACTAACTTAAACCTTGATCGTAACCCCTTACCCATAATTTGCATTTGGACCCGTGGAAACCTGGCAATGGTCCCCACGATTAACTTCGGTCCCCACGAGACTGCCTTTTTTGTGGGGGGAAATTGTCCCCAGATTGTAGGTGGGTAGGAAAAACCCCTCCACACACAAACTTTCCTGGACTCTACTGTGAGCAGATTCTTTCCACAGGAAGCCCCACAATGCTCATGTCTTCACTGCATCACTGTTTATTTACACCTAGCAAATAAAGGTTGACTTCACTTATCGACTGAGGTTATAATGTTGGAGCAACACAAGGTTCTGACACTGGTTTTTGTGGGTCAGAAGATGAATGGTTGTTGAACATGGATCACTGGATGAGATGTTCAGGGCTCCATTCCCTGACTTGTAGATGATAACACATCCAAGAGGATGAATATTTTTATAGACACTGTTTGTGGTTTCCAATTGACATGTGGTAAATATTTAATAATTGTTAACTGCTTGGAAATGTGCTGACAATAAGGACAGAATTTAATGTTTTTCCTCAGATAAGATCAGACGTGTGCCATTTATTTACTTTTACCGGTGAAGATTCTCAGTCATTCAGGTCATGATCGATCCAAAACCGGTTAAAAACAAAAACAACAGGACTCAGCTTTTCAGGCTTCACAATAAAAGCCCAGTTGTTTTTGTTTTCTGTCTTTTTCTTGGGTTTTCTCACGGTCACGCCCCCCTGTGTCGTGACGTCACACTCTTCTATAAAACCCAGGGCAGCTCCGTGTTGTTTGGATAAAGAGCGTCGACATTGTTGTAGACCTTGGAGGGTTACGTTTACCCAAAACTTCATTTCAAATGGGCCCCGTCGCCTAGCGTTTCCTCCCCCCAGCCTCGCCGACTGAGCTAAATTGGGTGCCGCTTAACACCGAGCACGTCTGGGTCAGCTAAGGTGAGGTGAACCGCTGCGATGTGGGGCTAGAAAATGGTGGAGGGTTCCTGAAACGAGGGGAGCTAACGATGCTAACAGCTAGCCTTCTGCTAACAACGGCAGCTGCTTCGCTAAAAACGCTAAAATTGTTATTGTTTTCTGGAGTAATGAGGGTTTTTTTTTCCTTAATATCTGTTTGGTATTCCTTCTCTGTTGACGGGTAAAACACAMACTGGCATCGTCATTAAATTATGTTATTAATTTATTTTCTTTTTGGCTCGCATCAATAAAATAAAAATAAAACAAAGTCCACTCTCAAAAGTCCACAGACCTGGAGAACAGAAACTATAATTCCTCTACAGGCTGTCAGCATGATGAGGTTCTGGTTCTCCATCAACATCGGTGATTCATCTCTGTGGAAACAAACGCTGTTTTTTTGCTGCAGAGCTTCTTCATGGAAACAAGAAGGTTCTTGCAAAACACAGCGTCATGACGTCACCGACGTGCGTAATGTGCACAGTTGTGAACTTTCTACAAGATCTGTGAAGTGGTCTTTTAAAATATTTTTGAACGGACCAAGAAACAGCAGAGATCTAAACAGAAGTCCTCAACCTGCTCTGTTAAGATCCAGTGTTGTATAAAGTACCACATAGTAATACTTAAGTACAACTACAGCATATAAAAGTTAAAGTCTCCTCTAAGAATATTACTTGAGTAAAAGACAAAGTATTTGATTTGAACTTCTGACAAAATGTATTGAAAGTAAAAATGAGAGGCTAGATTTTCCAAATACCTTTTTAAAGGGCATGCAGCTGTGATGGATTGTGTACAAACTAATATGTGTCAGAATGGTTTATGTTTAAATTCAAAGGCACAGTTTATCGGGATAGAATTAATATTTTTTTAACAATAACGAGCCGGAATGAAATAAGAGTAATGACTTTCTACTTCTTACCTTTTTTAAAAATGTAAGGAGTAGGAAGTACAGATAATTGTGTGAAAATGTAAGAAGTAGAAGTAAAAATTAGGTTGAAAAAAAATGTACCCATGTAAAGTTACAGATAGCCAAAATTTCTACTTCAGTACAGTAACAGTTACTGTACAACTCTGTTAGGATCACAGTTAACAGAGAACGTGACGAAAGTTACCGTAGTTTTCAAAGTAAATGTCTTCAGCAGTTAAACAGCTCAGTAACGATGCTGAGACGTGTCCTCGTGCACAGGAGGAAAGTTTGTGAGGCTGATCTCTGAGATGAGTCACGAGTTGTTCCAGACGTTTCTCTCACTGACTGCGTGCTGCAGCACATCTGTCACTGGTTTCAACCTGCTGAAACAGTCACTTCAGGGGAGAACAGGAACTCTAAATCCTGTAGATTAGGACATGAAACAGATGCAGATTGAGTTTAAATGAAGCAGACATTTGTTAACTGGTTCAACTATATTCCACACTGGATGGGTTTTAGTTTAAGGTCGTGAGAAGAGGTTTTCTGCTGTCAAGTTAAAGAATTTATTTCTAGTATTTTCTAAATCTGGATAAATGTATAAAGCAAAAAATGTTTATTTCCATTTTGATTTAAAAAATAATCTGCATTTCTGAATATAAACGCTCTATGTGTAGTTTTGCAGGAAGCAGATCGTACGATAAATTCAGTGATAAATGTGGAAGTCAGAGCAAAAAATAATTAATTCTGTCAAAGACGAACTCCAAACACAGCTGAAAACAACGATATAACGATATATTTAGTGGGAAAGATTTGCTCTTTATACAAATCTGTTCCAAATTGTGTCAAAATTACAGACTTCAGGCTATACGTCAAATTTAAAATTGTGTTGATAGATAAATAAGTTACAGAACTTTTTTTTTAATGTTCGTCGTATTTGAAGCTGAGAGGAGCAGCGAGCGGACTCTACCTTTTGGCATTAATCGTATTAATTGTCAAGTGCCAAAAATTACTCGATTAATGTTTTTCTGACGATTAATCACACACGATACGATTATGCCCAACCCTACCACACACACACACACACACACACACACACAGAGAGAGAGACCAGCTGTACTCCTGCACAGCGGGAGGGGAGGAGGGGAAAGAAAGGCAGCAACTTGTACAGATTATCTGTAAATTATAAAGATTTGACATCATTTTGCAGGTATACGGACATATAGAGCAATCTCACGGTTTTTTTTTAAAGTCTTACGGATATTTTAAAAACCTTATTTTCAAATTTATCTAACATGTCAGAGCCTATAGGATGATTTACAAAACAATAAATAACATCAGCCATCTTCCAACTTGTTCTGCTGCTAGAAATAAGTTACTTTTTCCTCTCTCCTTTCCTTCAGCAGGCGCTTTCATGTCCTCGGCTGACACCCCCCCCCCCCCCCCGCGCGCGGGTGCGAATTGTTAGGACTTTTTGCAAAATTTATGGAAATTTAAGACTCTTTATACAGGTAAACTACTTTTATTCCTGATTTAAACCAGCGATCATGTGAGCAGCTGTATGCTTTTATTTTTTTCTCTCAGGCTGTCGGAGCGCTCCTCCTCCTCTGTCCGAGGCTGGTGTTGGGTGAAAATCCTCCACCTCAGATTTTCAAAGATGTAACTATCTGCGATACTGGCTGTGTCCAAAACGACAGGCTGGGTCCTCCGGAGGACCCAGACTCCCCGGTCGAGGTGGGCCGGGTCCTTGGTAGACCGGGAAGACCGGAAAAAAAGTGTCTGTGAATTTGGACGGTCTAGCCTCCCCTCCTTACCCTGGCGTACGTCATGTCACCTAGCAACTGTGACGACGCTAAACAAGCAAACTTAAATCAAAATTAGAAAAATATCAATATATTAGCGTTATTAATATCACAAAACTATAAAATTAACTTAAAAGTATCATTTGAAGAACTAATTGACCCGCTGTAAGTG